GCATGGCAACCTTGGGGCAATGCCCCGCAGCCATCAGCGCGCCCCGCGCCGCCCGCAGGTCCCGCGTCCAGAAGTGCCCCGCGCGCGGCTGGCCGTCCCACTCCTGCCACTGCGCGAACTCCGGCAGCCCCGACTCGCGGCGCTCCGAGCGGAAGCGGGGCCTCAGCCGCTCCGCGTCGTCGCACTGGTATAGACGCTGCGGGCGTTCTTGTAGAAGAACGCATGGCCTTGCCAGGCCGTGAAGGCCACCGCGCGGGCCTCCTTCTCCGCCGGCTGGTAGGCGTCCAGGAGCTGCCCTTGGCAGTTCACGTAGAACATGGGCGCACCCCGCCAGACGCAGAACCTGCGGATCTCCTCGGGCGTGATGCCCCGCTCCTGCCAGCCGCGGTCGCAGATGGCATCGATGTCGGAGAGCACCTCCTCCAGCGGCAGCCGCAGCAGCTCCGCCAGCTGCCGGGCCGCGCACAGCCTGTCAGGCCGCCGCTCGAAAGCGGAGGCCAGCACCTCGTCGCCCTTGAAGAGCTGGTAGGAGACCTCGCGCTGCGCCAGCGCGCCCAGGGGCTGCCGCAGGCTCGTCTCCACGACCGTGCGGTCGTCGAGGCGCTGCGTGGTCTGCGAACTCAGCGTCCACTCCTGGAGCCGTCCAAAAAGTAGACCTCCTCGGACAGCTCCATGATCGCGTCGTCCTCGCCCGGGTTGCCCAGCTGCTGCAGCACCGCCTGCCGCGCGTTGCGGGCCACCTGGGCCTCCGACAGCCCGTCGTTCTGCCTCTGAAGGCCCACGTTCAAAGAGCGGCAGGTAGTCCTGGCGCTCGTAGCCCCAGCCGTTCTTGCGGCGGCCGCGGATGCGCACCGGCACGTGGGCCAGCCACTCGGTGTACTTCTCCTTGAAGAAGGCCTTGCCCAGCTTCGTGAGGTGGTAGTTGTTAGCGTGCGCACCAGCTTCTTGACGCCGCTGCGGAGCAGGATGAAGTCGGAGGCGCCCTCGCGGATCAGGGGCTGCGCCTCGTCGAACTGGCGGCTCGGCGGCCTCCGGCCCGCAAGCTGGTAGTAGAGCTGCCCGGCGCGCGTCAGGGCGCCGTTGGGGCGCGTGAGCTGCGCCGACTGCCCGCCCGGGCCGGCGAGGGGCAAAATCCTTGGCCTGACCCCGGCCTGGGC